TGCTGTGAAAATAATCGCTGTCAGATTTGTTATGAGAGAAATCAGCTGTGAGATAAAGCATTTTGGCGTTTGGTAAAATTTTGTTAAAAGTGTTGTGGGTATTGATTTTACGCATAATCATTAAACCCGACGCTTCTTCGAAACTGATTCCTACATAATCAGAAAATGAAAGCACCTCATTAGCTGCTTTCCCTTATAGCTTTCTCTCACAGCAATTTTTAACAATAAGTGATTTTCTCACAGTTTACCAAACAAGTTGAGCTTCTCAAAATTTTAAAAAAATCATTTATCACCCCAAATAAACAATGCCAAACTGGCACTTAATTCCTTCAACCTGTGGTGATTTTGGTAGGGCAGAAAGAGACCATATACATAAACACACTAATATATAAATTACTTACTAACTTAAAAACCTTTTGTCATCATTAGAGATCATTACAAATTACATGGGAGGTGGTCTTCTCCCATCTTTAGATGATCTTCTCAACCTTCCTAATGGCTAGATTCCATGCCCAAGAGAGGCCTCCATGTTCGATTTCATTGGAGAGTAATTTAGACGATCAATTCAATTGCACTAGAAGAAGAAAAACACTATTGTAGCTCTTTTAAGCAAATTTAACATAGTTTCAAGTCCAAACCCTTCTTTTTTTCAAATACATCCATCCAAATAGAATCGGATTTTTCAAGTTTGAAAGTGGAGAGTGTAGCTCAGAAAACATCATTTTTCGCCTTCAAGGGAGAGTATAAGGATCTTAACATGGAAAGGGAAGGCAAAGATTGTAAATAAAGGATTTACCGTCCTCTGATTTGTATGAAGTTGCATTGTACAAGTTAATGAAATCTTAGCTATATAATCAATTTGCTATGCTTTGGGCAATTTGTTCTTTCTAGAGAACCTCTTGGTATTTTGGTTGTCACCTGATATGGCTCAGGGGCAAAAATAGAGAATCATTCCTCAAATTGAATTTATCATCTAGAAAAAGCAATCTAACTGAATTGAGAAAAAAGTGATTTAGCTCATTCGTAAATACCAAACAGCATACAAGTGTACGACTATCTATCAGAAAGAACTACTGCCAAAATACTTAAAACCATCACAAGGAACAACCAAGTATCTTAAACACAAAACAAAATTTAATTCTCAGCTCAATCCTCAACAACATTTTCTTCTTTAAAGGCAAATCTCTACTGATCAATATTTAATAGGAGCAATGATCTCTAGCTGGGGGCCTAGTTTCTCCTCAGCAACCTTTTCTGCCTTCACCCTCAGCTTGTTCAACTGTTTCTTCCTCTCATATGCAAGCTGGGCCCTCTCCTTCCTCTTGTTCTCAAGCTCCTGCACAGCCACAGATAAATCATTAGTGACTACTTTTAAGTACAGGAATCAATGGCAACAAACTCATTCCAAGTCCACATGCCTCAAGCTCAAAACGCACAACAAAATTAAATATAGATGTCGGGAAGCAAAGTTGTAAACTGAATGACACGAGGACACATATGAATTGTCGTCCATGTAACTCAATGCAAAGCAAACTAATGTGATGATTTTTATGAACATAACCCTTCTCTGGAATGGTGTTCTTAGCTATCAGCCACTTGTGCCATACTATGCAGAATTCCAGGCATTTATGCACTTGTAGGGGATGCACTAATGCAAGCTCCAAAAGTTCTAGACACTGACATACAAATGCATACCCAATCTACCGCCAAAGACTAATGTACTAACATACATAGTAAGACACCATTTAAAGCCATGTAGGTACACACACAAAAAAACAGCTTTTGCAAATAAAAATAAAAATAATCAAATCCATCACTATAACATGGATGAAGCATTGTTCAAAACATGGCATCACAACCACTAAATTCACTATGCATTTAAGTGTGAGAACACCCCTATAACATGTACACAACCACATTGTGGAAACTAAAATCCGATGCAACCTGATCCAATTGAATACAACCATAAAATGGGTGTATTACTCTGAACTAAAAAGTGAAAATAATATGCTTTACTCAAACACAAGGACACAAAAAACTCAGTAAGCGCAAACAACAAAAGCATGTGATTATCACCTTGATGGTCTCATAGTGATTCCATCCAACCTCAGATGAAAGCTTGCCCAACAAACAGTACTTGTGTCCTGCTTGAAGCCTCAAGACCCTGATAATTTCCAAAAACAATAACCTTTCAGTTCACGAAAACAGAACCAAACAAAAATAACAAAACTACGTAATCAAAATCAACAAACTAGTGTGAAAAGCTCACTTGAGAGCATCAGGAATGACCATCCTCTTTATCTTATCATACGGAGGTGGAACACCCTCGTATGCCTTCAAACGGGCAAGTGCGGCTGCACCGCGCTTGGTCTTGTGAGGAATCATTCTGCAAACCAAAGACACAAGTACAAAATCACTGTAAAATAATTTATACAAAGAAATCCCCTATTGAGTGAAATGAAGCAGAAAACGCAACTACCGTTCCAACTAAAAAAAATAGATCACCTTTTGAATCAATAAAATAAACATAAAATAACAAAATAGGTCTATAACATATAATGAGTTCGAGATCATTTTCTTCAAAATCAGCAAACCAGAAAAATAAACAAGTCCAATACTTTTCAACTCCTATTCTATTCCGACAATCAACATATTAGAATAAAAAACACAAATTAATAGAATCAATCTCGTACAGTTCCCAGATTAAACTAAATAATGGGCACCAGGCATTCTGTTCGGTTACTAAGAAACTGAAACAAAATCCAGCAAACCCAGAAAACCCTAGCTCAAACTGAAGAAAACGTACATAAATCTAGAAATCAGCAATGAAAGAGTGAGTGAGAGAGAAACGACGACGTACCCACGGATGGTGCGCCAGAGGATCTTAGCTGGGGCACGGAAGTGAATGGGACCATGAGAGGGCTTGGTGTTCATGCGCTTGCGCAAGAACCTCATGTACTTCATCTTCTGCCTGACAAGCCCACCGGAGATGCAGATCTCCTCGCATCGAACCACCACGACCTTCTGCCCATTGAGAAGCTCTTTGGCGAGTATCGACGCCAGGCGACCCAGCATGTGGTGGCGGGCATCCACCACGACGCGCTTAGCGCAGATTCCTGAGCCAGACACCATTGTTTTCAAGCTCTCTAACCCTAAGCGGCTGTGAAGTGAGAAATGGGTGCGTAAGGGTTAGGGTTTTGGAATGCCGTGGTTTATAAAGAAGGCGTATATAAGGTTGGAAGGTTTGGTTGGCTGCTGGCTGGTGTAGCTTTGTATGTGGTGGGGATTGATGGGTTGTGTGGCATCTGGGCTTAGATGGTGGCCACGTAGCCCACAGGTATGCCAGGTCAAAGGCCCAAATAAAATATATGGGCTGGGAGGGTTAGTTTTCTTTCGTGGGTTTAAAGAAAAACAAAACAATTAGCCCATAGGGCCCCTTACAAACGTCTCTAGGCTGCGCACTAGCCTAGGCCCAAAGTGAGGAGCTAACGTTAATCTTTTAGAAACGGAAAAGTTCTAACATACCCCATGAAAAAAAATGTTACCAAAAGGAGGAAGACCTCATAGTGACAAAGAAGATGGCAGGGTCGGACCGGCTTTGTCCGAAACCCTTGCCACCAAATGTGATCGAAGAGAGAGAAAAGATGGAGCCCTAGACTTTTTTTTTTTATTGTGGATCACCAAATATTTTACTTGTAATTCTTGGTTACAAACTTTTTTTCATATTTATATATATATATATATATATATACAAATGATATTCTATTTTAATTTAATTTAAATTATGGAAAGAAGGATTCGAACTCGGGTGCAGAGTTTGGAGCACATCTGCTCTAGCCAACTTGACTAAGACCATGGCAGCAAGTTACAAACTTATTTAACAATGGGTGGTAACAAAATTAAATTTAGCAACTCTTCTTCGAAAGTGAGCAATAATAGTGTTATGTGGTGCCAGAATCTTTACCCATTATTTGGAAAAAGAAGAAAATATCATATCCATTGACTTTTGATTGGAGCGATTATATATACATCATATCTGCACAAGTACAATCGCCCCAGTTAATTGATGAGAAAGGGTCTCCCAATCGTTTTCAGTGATAAGTTCGAAATTTCAAGCTGTAAGATAGTGGAAGAAAGAGAATAAAGCCAATTGAAGCCACATGGGTCAACTCTTTTAAGACAAATGCGACCAAGCAAGCATGATTGAACGTAACACACAACAAAAGTGAGGTGGTGATGGATGAACCTTCACATTTAAATCCAAATGCTTAAGGGACCCTCTGAGAATGGCAACGTCTCAGGGCAGTCGAATAAAACCAAAAGAGTCATTTCTGGCAAGTCAACGACCCACGGCAACAAGGTACGGGACCCGTTGACTTTCTAACTCATATATGACCAAAATCATTTTCATTCAATCAAAGTAAACAACATATATGACAGAAGTTGTCTCCACACTCCCTCTGCTGCCATAACAGATACTATTCTCCTTCCCCACAAGATAGAAAGAGAGAGAGAGAGCATGTGGGGGTGAGCAGCTTCATCAGTATCTATTTTAAATATACATATGGGGAGAGATATTTGATACTACTAGGTAATTATCAATTAATCACATCTTTTGTAGGATATTACATATATGATATTAAGATTTCGAAAGGACGGATGAGTGAACCACTATAATACTAACATCGATACTTTCAACAACTTAAACACAAATATCCTAGTAAATATGTAGTTTTATCGCTAAGCGTATTTGTTAGGTAATGAAACCACACACTTGGATTTTTTTGTATCTTATTTTCTTAGGTTTCTACTGCGGTATTTTTACGATCTTTAACAATTAATAGCTAAGTTGTTCCACTTTTATAAACTAGACATTCAAACAAGAAACTGAAAAGGCATTCGTATACGAACAACTTCACCAATTTTGAAGAGAGATGACCACTATATATAAGAATTAATTTGTTCAATGATGAGAATTTGAAGAGATTTCAGAACCACTACATGCCTTTAATATCAATCTGGAAGAGGAAATACATGTTATGTTACTTATTTAGGACAAAGGAATCTAGCTAGTAATCTGCGGGTTCAACTGCTGTTATACCAGAGACCACACTGCTAGCTCATTAATTTCTTTTTCTCTTTTTCATAAACAATAAATATAAATAGATCAGAATCCAAAAGAAAAGGCTGTGGTCATAAGATTCAAGTTCCACCATCATCATCACATGCTGGCGGTGTTTGCATGAATAAAACTGAATATCTGCTGAACTGAGGTTGCTATATCTTCAGCCGTGAACCTCGATTCACTCTCAACCTGCCCATCTAACTCAGATTAATTAATTGCATATGCTAAAATAATGTTTTATAATCTCAACTATATGTATACGTACCTTGACATTAAAGGAATATAGAACAGTTTGTTCGATGGTGGTGATGTTAGTGTGAAGAATGTTAAGCTGCAAATCCTCAAGCGCAGCAATGGCCTTAATGAGCTGCCCTGGTCTCCTTTGAGACAAAATCTTGATCATCGCATCAAACCCTAAAACCTTCACCTCAACATCAGCAAAGCACGACTTGTTCTCAGCCGTTTCTTCTCGAAGCCCCGTTTCGAAATCCACGAACTTGATTGGATCATTTGGATTCACGGGGAGATTAGCAGCCGGAAAGATCAATGGTCCCCCGCTGCCGCCTTGAGCTGCCTGCACTGCAGGCATCACCGCCATAGCCATCGCTCCGGCAGATTCTCCCACCTCATGTCTTGGAGCTTCGCCTAAGAGCCTTCTCCGCTTTTGTGATTCCAAGCACTGAAGCAACTGCTCTAATTCTCTCACAAACTCTATGGCTCCTCCAATGATAGAAGCTTGATCCCCCTGCATACATTCAATTAAAAAATATTTCAGTGGTGATGGAGGTCGTGAGTTCAAATTTCATGGACGAAAGTTGTTGAATTGAAAGAAAACAGTTAAACAATATATACTTACTCGTTGTACATATGAGCCAGGCATGAGGGACCGGAGCACACGAAGATGCTCATTCATTTGCTTCCTGCGGTTTCTTTCCACGGCGATGTGAGTCATCCGCTGGCTTTCGACTTCTTGAGTCGTCTTGGTAGTTCTTGGTCTTTTTCTTTTGTTCTTGGCTGCAGGCTCCGGTTCTACTCCTCCTCTAGGGTTGTTTTCAAGATCTTCTCCAAGAAATTGGAGCTGCTGCACCGAATTACTACCCGAAACCCGAGCCTCCTCATCTTGATCTTCTTCCATTGACTTTGTCTTGCCTTCTTCACCCAACCCTGTAAATCTCTCTTCAGCTTGTGGAACCATGACATCGTTGTCGAACTTGTCGTTCAACACCGGAAACTTGAGGAAGTAAACAGGGTCCACTCCGGAGGGTTCTTCTTCTGAAATCTTGGTTTGGTTTAAGCCCAACTTGGGTCCAAAATCCGCAAACTGCATCACGTCGGCGAAGCTCAGCTTATCAAAAGAAGTACTTGTTGAACCACAAAACCCAGCTGGAGCTAGTTGTGTGCTCATTTGTTGTTGCTGTTGTTGTAGTTGATGGTGATTGTTCATCAAGTAATTGACCATTCCGTTGTTGTTCTCACTTGGAGTCTCGTCGACGCGAGACTTCATCATCTGCTGATCTTCATCATGATGATGATCTAGGGTGTAATCCAGGTTGTTAAAGTTACCAGGCGGCATAAAAGCCTGCAATATTTCATAATCAGAGCAAAAGAACAACATGGTGATTGATGACAATATTTGTCAACAGAAAATAAACAAAAAGTAAAAGGGAAGTGAAATAAGCAGTGTGAGATGGAGAGAAAGCTGAATTTTGTACCGAGTAGTTGTTCTCTTCCTTCTCCATATGTACAGAATATATAGTATATGATGAAGAGGAGGACAACGAGTACAACTTTAGTGGAAAACCCTAGGCCCGGGGGTGGAGCTAAATTGAAGCAAGGACAAATTACCCTAGTGGAAACTAGGACAGCTTTGGTCCTATACCTGAAACAATGTTAAAATGCATGAAATTACGGACTGTAGATAAATTAATTGCTTGAAGATTGATAAAACAGAAAATATAGACAAGTTAGGTAACAATAATCATCAAGGTTAGAAACAATACAAATTTATCTAAGACAAAGGCCAACAGAAACTGCACCAAACCCCACCTTTTGTTAGAGATTGGAGGAAAGGATCTTGCAATTTTAGAAGAGATTTGGCTACGTGGTTCAGTTATGTCTATATATCTGTAATGGGCCAGCCAGAGTTGCCGTGAGAGAGAGAGAGAGAGAGAGAGAGAGAGAGGAGCCTGTGGGATTAATTTGGTTGTCACAGTTTCACCTCACTGTCACGGCCTCCTTTAATTTATGTGTGTCACAGGACAAAAGAGCGCCACAAATACTCTCCCCCATGACCATTATTAAGGCTTAGCCGCTTGTGAACATTTTATAATTTCCACTTTCAACTTTTCAACTTTTCAAAGAGATTACCTACCAACAAGATTCATGACCTTATTCTTCTTTTTCTAACTTTTCTCTTCTTTTTTCTTCTAAAAATTACAAATCAATCGGGAAGCTAGATAACTCAACTGCATGTGATTCCTTAATAATTCGTGGCATAGATAAGATCTATCTACCTAGCTTGATGAATTTTCAACAATTGACTCAATTTCGTAACGCATTTCTTTTGTGACATTAATAGAAAGGCAGCCGAAGTGGGCTTTCCAAATCAAACGTTGGCACATGGCCATTGATCCCGAATAGTTACGGATGGTAATGGCCGGGTTTGGGAATGGTGATCACAATACCATTATTTATGTACTTGATCTTCATTCTCACTCATGTCTTTATCTTATCCTCTTAAAGGATTTTCAGAAAATTTCTATAGTCAGAGGCGGAGCTAGAATTGTAAGTTTATGAGAGATAAAATATAAAGAACAAGCTATAATTAGATTATTTTTACACAAGTTTAATAAATTTAACTTCCATATACAACTTAGGCCAAAAAAACAAAAACAAACACACACACATGAATTGAAATGAACTCAATCCAATTTCAAAACTTCATAATCCTACTCAATCACCATTAAAAGATAAAAACTTCATCATTCGAGTCTTGCAAAACAAACAAGTCCACTGCACAAACCAATAATTTAAGTCCAACTACAAAACTAACCACGAACTGCAAAGTTCATCAAATAAGACTCAAAAACTTCAATAAAACATTTGCTTCCTCATGCATATATATTTCCAAACGTTCACAACTGACTTGCTAAACTACACAAGGAAATAAGACAAATGAAATTCCATGCACACTGACACACACTTGCCAATATTTGAATATAGTTGGCCTACTCATGATTCCTCGTATGTTTAATTTTATAGTTAGAATTCCATCCCCATTATATACATTTGCTTAAAAAGTCATATATATGTTGAATAAGAAAATTGAGCAGGGGCAAGATACTATTTTCATTACCCAAAAAGAAGGGAGAAAAAGGTTAGCAAATTTGAGGGATAAAGACCATGTTTTGTTTCTTGTGGCTTCACTTTGTGAGAAGGAATATATTATGTTACCCAATGTAGCCATCTATGATTCTATGACTATGAGGCATAGAGGTTGCATTAATCCCCTGTTGAAACATTATTTGCTGACGGGGCTCAAATCTAACATCCCAGTATCACCAGAGATGACAATTGAATTGAAACTAATCAAAAATAAAATTGTATACAAGAAATTGAAATTTAACAATTTCACCGTAAGTAAAACAAGCAAGTCAACAATATCCACGGCATACTCAGCGCGAATTTCTGACTGTCAGAAGAGAACGAAAATGATAACTAAACTGAAAATCACGAAGTGTATTCAAACGCCTGAGGAGGCTGCGGTTCCTCGTCAACTGCCATGGCTGAAGCAGACGCCGGCTGTCCCGTTGCTGATCCACCAGCAGCTGATGTTGTAGAAGAGGGTGTGTCTGTAAGCGAAAGCACCTCGGGTTCAGTCGGTTTCAGATCTCTCAAGAGAACAAACCCAGATGGTGCTAACTTGATGGGCTCATATCTGCTTCCTTCCAGAAATTTAATGTATTGCTCCTGAGCAGGAACCACCCTAGCTGGGTTGGTCAAAATCTCAAACGAAGGCTCCGGCTCTGATTTCTTCTCGACTGAGCTATCAACCTGCCAAAGGGAAGAAGGGGAGTTGGATTCAGAACAATTATGATATCATAAACTAAGCATTGCAAAGTAAATAGATCCCATCATATTCTCTCTTCCAATTGTTACTACTAGTTTGGATCATGGCTGTGTATGCAGCTCAAGCAATCTTTTAAAAGAAAAATAAAATTTAAACACTAAACTTATATCATTCTCTTAAGTTTAAATGCAAAAATGGAACAGAGGAAGAAGAACAAAAGGTGGGATGGGCCCATTATGCCCATACTGCTCACCTGCATTGAATCCCCATCTTTCTCACTAGATGATTTTCCTTTTCCAGAATGTGCATATGAACTCTCTGCCCCAGATAACTTTTCAGCGTTTGCCTTTTGATCTGCTTCTTTCTTGGCCCTAGCTTTGGTGGCCTTTGCTGATGTTGAAAGTACAGCAGTGGGGAGCTTTACAGCCGATGTAGTGGTTGGCACAGTGGTCGGTTTAGGATATTCAAACAGCGAAGGTTTTGCATGTGACAGGAACTCAAACTTTGGAACTTTCAGGTCAGAGTTCAGTCCTATCAAAGCTGTTGGTGAGAATGACAAGCTTAGGAAGTATATAAGGGGATACCAGTACCAAAATTGGCTAAAAACAGCAAGGCCAACAACTGCAGTAACTTTATCATGTTTTGTCTTAGAAAGCAGTCTTATCGTCACATTCCTTCCACCAGCATCAAGAATTCCAGAGGCCAAGATTGCTCCCATTTTGCTCATGGTGTCCTCATGCTTATCAAGAATTATTTTCTCCAATTGCCGCCTATAAGATTAGTACACAAATTGTTGCAAAATGAGAGAGAGAGAGTTGGAAAACTTAGGAATTTTATGATGACAGTACCTGAAAGCTCCAACACGAGAATCACTGGCTTCACTAATCTGGACCATGACCATTGCCATTGCAATGAGGGCACCTTGGCGCACAAAGTCAACAACATCTGAAGTCAGAGGCTCTAACAAAGATATGGCCTCACTCAAGCCAGTACCAGCACAGGAAATGCCTACGGCAAGAGCAGCACCATATCGAACATGAGGATTGTAAGACTCAGATAGCAAGGAGACAATTCGAGGCGTCTGCAATTTACCAGTGCAATTTTGGAGACAAGGTATTTATCAGACCAACAGAAAAACAAAAAGGGTATCAAGCAACAAAAAATTGCTTTGGGAAACAACAGAAGATGGACGATCAGAGACAGAAATACACAAATAAGAAAACACCAACCTGCTCTGGCTCGGAGTACAAGACAAAACCAAGTGCTAGAACAGCAGTCCTCCTAACATCATCACTCACATCTGATACAGCAAAATGCAGCAGCTGACGAATGGCCTTGTTGTTTGCTGTCCCACTGTAGGCCAATGCCAATGCATACATACCACCATAACGTAGAATAGGATCTTGGTCTCTTGTCATCTGCTCAATTAGAGTGTCTGCTTCTTCTTCTCTTCCATATACAGTCAGGGCAATCCCCAATGCTAACCCTCTGTACACAGAATACACAGTTAGCAAAGACCATAGCCAAAATGTGCCATTCCTCCCACAGATCACTTTTCTCAATAAATGATTTTTTTTACCAAAAGAAATCCAAGTACAAACTAGGTCACGCAGCTATCTATACCTGATGATCTTTTCATGTTGTGTCTCATGTGCATAAGCAAGCATCTCACTAGCCTTCTCACTTGCAGTTCCAACCATGAGCAAACCCATACTAATCCCAGCAGCTTCGCCAGCAACAGCACTGTCAGTGTAGAGCACACTTTTACAGTCATCGTAGATCTCTTCATCAGCAGTTCCTAAAGCTGACAAGCCAAGACCTAAGCATGCACCATGTTGAATAACCTGCATCAAAGGTCCCATTAGAAAATTTTGGCGATAAACTAATGTGCACAAAAAGATGCAATCACTAATATATATATAGTGCACACCTCCACATTAGTACTGCGTAGGCTATCACGAAGGAATTGTTTGATGCCCTCGCCATGGTTGGCATGAATGAGACCCAGAGCATACAGGGCACCACCTTCTGAGTATGGACTTCCACCACCACCTGCCCCACCCTGAGGCAAGTAAGGTGCCATCAAAGATCTTCCCTGCTGCAGGTGGCCTCTGTGAATAACACCTAGCCCTGCTGTGGCACTGAATTTAGCCCAATTTGTGGCTCTACTTAACCAGTCCTGAGAATTTAAAGAACTGAAGTGGTCAATATTCTTAGCAAAGAAAATAGAATATAACATTGCAAAAGGTGCAAAAGGAAAGAGTAAGATATCTGCTTCACCAGATTCTCCCTCAGAAACGTGTCAACAGTTGTTCCCGCATGCATAATTGCATTAGCATAAATAGTAGCACTGTGGCATACACTATTTCTCATCTCAACGGACTGCTTAATTGTCTTCAGAATAAGAAGATCAGACCTATATGAAATTAACAGAAAACAGTCAAAACACTTCTCAACCAATGATTTCCAAAAGAAATTTATAAGTTAATGAAATAAAATATATGGGAAGAATTTAGCAGCCTCACTTGTTATGACTGTACAAAAATTGTAAAGTTAACTGTATCGATGTCTCTCCAGACAAAATTCCTTTAATTTTCGTCAGCCTCTCAGAATAGATCACTTCTTTAGGATCTTCATGCACGGTTGCATTTGAAGTAGAACTTCCATCTGTCATTTGAACATCCTCCACAGAACTTTCATTTTGAGCAGCATTACTTTCACTTTGAGCAGCATTACTTTCACCTTGAGCAGCATTACTTTCACTTTGAGCGGCTTCACTAGATTGTGGTTGTGCAGATTCTGGCTGTGCAGATTCTGAAGGTTGAATCTTGGGAGGTGAAAGGCGATTTCTAACATTTAAGAGAAAAGCTTGGTGCTCATTCTCTATTAGATCAAATGCTATTTGAAATGCCAAAAGTGCATCGTCCTTGTTTTCAGAGCGCAGAAGATTTTCCAATATGCTTGCTACACCTTCTGGTTCATCCAAGAACATGAGACACTGACAAATGCTCAA